GCACAACTTGCTTCGTTTTGGACGTCATGGACTGTGCTAGGAAGGGCCTGAACGGCATCGTGCCGTACAACCCAAAGCAAAAGCATGGAAGCACCTTTATAGTGAGCGTTTACTGGCTCGGGCTTGCGATTTTACCGCAGTCGTGTTCCATGCTCCGGCCGTTCGTTGCCGGGACGGTCGCGGAGAACCATTTCAAACCCAATACGGCCGAGCACAAGGAGAAAATGGACTCTGCCGTGCGGTATCGCTACACCCGCGGCAACTGCGTCACGTGACACTGCGCTACGACGGGATGTAAACGTACTGTACCTCAATTATACAAAAAGGCGGTGTACATACTAGAAAAACCGTGCTAGGATTCACAATGTTTTTGTGGTTGCTGCAGAGGCAATGTATGACCATGCACGATTGGACGGGATCGTCGACGTCTTCGCCGCCAAAATCCACACATACTGTCCTGGAGGAGTTGGCTGTCTTTGCCGAGGACTGCGTCGTCTTCGAGCGCCCCTCCCGTTTCCTTGTCGTCGATGTTACCCTCGTCCTTGGCAATGTCGTCGCCCGAGTCTTCACCCCACCGATGTCGCGAGGGACTCTTGATAAATCCTAGAGTGCACTCAGCACCTGCATCGACAAAGGTGCACGGCTGGCATCGCTCGTTTGCCTGCTGACAAGACGCCGATATTGCTGTTTCATGATGACGCGAGCTGCGTTGTTCGATGTATTTTCAGCCTTGCCGTCCTTCTACAACCTTGACGCGAACATGCCTCGTGCGGGGCCGCACGCGTGGACGCATGGGCTGCGCCAGGTACCGTCGACCACACCGACCGGATTGCCAAAGGATGTCTAGACTGCACCCAGCTCCGTCTCGGGCACGATACCAGCGACGTCGGCGACGATGGGGATGAACCACACGGTACGACACCGGTGTCACCGACATAGCATCGATGTTTCGTGCGTGGTAAGGCGCTGCCGTCGACGATAGGACTCTCGGGCAAGTCGGGCGAGCACGGACGAAAGAAGCTCAGTGCGCTCGGTCGCATTGGCTCCAACCTCTCGGCCGGGGCCCTCATTCTTCTGTCCCTTCTGACGCTCATCGTGCTCATCACACAGGTTTGACTCCTGCCTGTTTCAAGGCTAAGGACCCAGCATAGGGCATGTTTGACCGGCTCGTCATGTCCAACAACGGACAGTCTGCCGATTACTTTTGGGCTCCGTACAGTGAAACGTGTGCGCTGGCGCCAACGGGTTGGGTGCCAAATTCGTGCTCGGCCCTCGAAGCCAATGCGACAACACCGGATGCGTGGGCAGCTCTTGGCCACATCCTCGCTACGCAATGGTCGGCGGAGCTCGAAGAAGGTACCTTTCGGAAGAATGTTCTCCAGTTAATTGTTTACCCTAGCCTCGTCATTGTACATTTCTACCTGCATTGTCGGGGGGAACACGGCTGTCGGGTGGGGCGTCCTCATCTTTATTGCTGGCTACGATGCGTACCCAGCGTGCATTCCAACGACCGGCGGCCAGCCAATCGCCGGCATTGCCATGCTAGAAACCACGGTACTACAATACCTTTTATGACGCTTGGCAGAGCCGTAGTAGGTTCGAGACGACCACGGCGTCTACCTCCTTACACTCTACTCGGACAAAAATGCGACCATGCAGGTCTGGAATAAGCGTTTGGGATGGCAGGACACGGGCTTTCTGTCTAGTCGATCACGCATCACCGCAACACGGACGGCACGTCACAGGACATTGTGTCGACACCACTGCGAACTGCGATTGCCACCGATGGCAGCTACAGTGCCGATGCGACGGGCACGGATTTCATCGTGCTCTCCACGCCGCTGACGACGCGGTACGTTTGAATATTGTCGATCTATTCACAAAGAATTCAATTGCGATAGGTATACGGTCAACGTCTATTGCATCTCGCAGATCCAGGTTGCGTCAAGTCTCGGACTGCCCGGATGGAGCCAAGGTGGTTAACGTCCCCACCAGAAACCAACGGTTGTCATCCAACTAGGCAAACACGGCGGGATTCCAGTCACACCGGCGTGGCTCTGTGGCAACCAAGTCTCAAACGCGTCCGAGCTCATCGCGTTTCAGATGATACTCATTGTGTTGACAGTGCTGGCGCTCAACGGCGACTTTTACATCACCTTGGAGGGTACGTGCTCACGATGTATGTCTATAAACCTAACCGCAACCCTCTTTTAGGCATCCGCGGTCTCATCGCAGGCAAGCCCGTGCTCACGTACGCCGTGCTCTCTGGCCTCGAGCGCCGCAAGGTACATCGCTTCTCGCTTCGTGTACGGAGACAGGAGACCGA